CTCCCCATTCTTTATGCTGAATATCTCGCATGGACATCTGCACTGAAAGCTGTTTAACTTCCCTCGGATAAACTTGTTGCTCTTCTATGACTTTAACCCACACAAGACAATGCTCAAGAGATTGCTACTAAATATTTGAAGCTGAATGCTGATGCTGCTAGCTTTTCATACTGGGGCATTAAACTTCCAAGAATCAAATTGCCTTATCTCTTCCAAGTTCTTACATTGTAAAAAGCAGTCACCTTGGGAAATAAGAATGAAAAGCTCAGTTCTAAGCAGAGACATGGCCAGCTACTTAAAAACAGGTAAACCCAGAAGTGTGGGTTCCCCTAATGACTGAGAAAGGAAGCCAAATGGTAAATTAGCTGAGAAAGATAAGTAGAGTGTACAGGGAAGAGCTGACAAGAATGAGGGTTTTTATCTGGCAGATGGTGCTTCCACCATTATAAGGTAGAGAGAAATGGGTTAAACCAAAAAAACCCCCAAAAACTGAGAGTAAAGCAGGCAACATGGCAGGGCTCCGGATATTAGTAGAAGACAGCATAGAAACTGACTTGGGGGGTGAAATTAGAAAGGAAACTTCCCCCTCCTGCCCCAATCCTAATCCTGTTGATGGGCTCCATGAATTTGTATGTTACTCCATTGTAAATCGAGGGATAAGGAGCTACTTGCACTGATCTTACAGCAGGACTGAGACATGACAGGCAGGGGCATGCATGTGGCTAGCAAAGCAAGAATCCTAGGCAGGCTTAGATGGGGTGCCCAGCTGCTGATAAGCACATGAGCAGTGCAATCCAACCTGTCCTTGTAGCAACTCTGAAGATGTACAATGCTTCAGAATTTATAAATGTTATTACTGTTATCCTAACTGTGTCTGTCCCAAACATGTAACCCCAACCTAACAGTAAAAGCATACTATAAGCAAAATTATTATTAATCCTTCTATAAAGACAAGTAAAAAGCAGCTGGATATGAAGTATTTGATTAATCAGAAAAGCCCTGGTCACAAAACCCAGCTTGGCTAAGTCATTTTAAAAAAGCTCAGCAAAAATAACAAAAGGCACTGCATCCTCTGAAACATGTCTTTACAAAGAGACTCGATGCTGTGGTGAAAACTAAACACAATCAAGGTTATATAGTATATCAACTTGCCCACAGTGATTAGATCTCTCTCTGAGCAGTAAACAATGCACTAGCAGGTGGGACACCGATGAATGAGCTGTCCATGTATATTTTTTTGTGTACAAACTGATTGCAAGGATCATGTGTGAAAGAGGATTATGGGTTACATGTGCTGTATGTTCCATGTCACCATCAGTGCTAGGAAGGGAGGTTGGGGAAGAGAATGTTGTGATGGTGAATGAGGGTTTAAAAAATGTACACAAGAGCTACTAGTGGAAAAATGAAAGATCGTCTTACCCCATCCTCTATGTCCAGCCTGTCTATTACAGGGAAGAGGACAAATTTCTGCTAATCTACCCTTCAGTTGATTTTGTGGGTGGATGGTAAGAGATCCTGCCGTAACTAGCTTTAGTATCTGAGTCTCTGCTCAAGGTTTTCTTCAGGCAGTAATAGTAGCAAACAATATTTGCAGAATGCTTGCTAGCTTCCCTCTTTTCTTAAGATTGTTGTGAAGCTGCCATAGTGTTTATTTCACTGAGCTACTGCTTGACAATGTTATGAGCAACAGCAGAGACAATGGAGATGCCTGCCAGCTGATTCAGGAAGACAGCGCTACATCTGTTCACAAAGTTATCTATGGAACAAGTTATCTATGGCTACAAGTTATAAACAGCAGATGAAATTCTGAAGGAAAAATAATGTTGAAGAGAAATTAATCCATGAATGGGTTTGCCAAGCCCTATAACGAATTATTAATCAAAAGCAAATTTTCCTCTCTTCCTCCACTTTTATCTTTCCTCTTAAGTGAAGAAACCTTATTTCTCAGTTCTCCTCCCTATCCTCTGTGTTATTTCTTGTTTCTCAATTCAATGGATTGTCTCTTTCTGAAAAATGTATTAAGAAAATACAAAAGTAAGGATAAAAAGAGAGCTACACAGACAGCCATGTCCTTGTCTGGCTGGCCAAATGAAGAAGACTGCGGTGATACCTCTGCAAAAAAAATCCTAGAAACCACAGTAGGTTTGCCCATGGATATTTCTTATAGTAGAGTTGCTTATGGTTATTTCTTCACCACCACTTGCTATCTACAGCATCTGAGGTAGTCAGAGGATGGTGAAATCACATCACTTGGAGGCATGATGTCTCCGTCAGCGCAATAGCCACTGATCCACATATCTACATATGCAGTCTGGAAACCACAAAGATCAACACCCACAGCTTTCAGAGGAGGAACAGGCAGATCACATTCCCTAATCATCTCCTATGATTCAGCACCGACTCAACAAAAGGCAGAATTTAACCCTGAAAAAACTGCTCTTCTATCAGCCTTGACTAGTCCCTGCCAGCTCCACCTAAGCCTTCAGGTCTCCCCCACTTCCTTTGCTTGTTTTATTCCATACTTTAGATTCACAAAGGGATCTTCACTGGTGAATCCATGTCCTTCTTACAGAATGCTATCGATGAGTGTTTCATAGAGTTATAGATTATGTCAGAATATAAGAGGTTCTGAGTCTGGCTGCACACATGTATTTTGAAACAGTGCAAAGTTTATTACCTTACACTGGCTTGATACATTTTTACACTTTGTACTGAATATGCATTTATTAAACTAATAAGAGACTGAGCTCCTCCTTTTCTCTTACATAATTATTTTTTTCTCTTATCTCTCTGTCTAGATACATTAGGGCTTATAATTGTGCCAGTTATCACAGCAGCAGATCATTTTGTACCTAAATTAAATTTGCAAGGTGAGGTCCTTAGTGGACTGATTGGAATTTTCTGTTTTTCCTGCTCTGTTAGGTGAGGACACTCTTGCTCAGAAGCTTGCATAAAGGCTTTATCGCACATTAATATTAGGCTACACATAGAATGCTTAACACTTGATTGTCACACATTAAAAAATGAAAACTAGTTTTAAGCACCTTTTAGTCATCTTAAACGTTATGCCAGTCCACGGTAGGTTTATCTGTGATCTGTGTTACCCAGCTTGTGGTACAGTAACATGTGGCCACTTTGCAGACATAAGGCAATCAAATTCCAGCCCTCATGCATCCCAGAATACAGTGTCCCATCCCCACACCTTCCTGTTCTGTGTGGACAATTCTCAGCTGTGACTCCTAGTCTAGCCCTTGTTCACTGGCCCTCTACTGCCAAGTCACAGCTGTGCAGGTGGGGGATAGTCAAAGAAGGTTTTTAGCTTGAATGCGTAACCACTCTAAACTCAAGCTATCATTAACCCTGATCAGCATTTCAAAGTGAGAGGAACAGTGTGGAAAAAACCCTGGTCATACCCAGTTCACTCACCCTTTCAGCATCCGCTGTCTGTATGGTGTGACACAGGCCTACTGGTATGCCATTCTGGAATGTGGACCAAAGCCCACCAAGTAGAGCTACAAGCCCCCCTTGATGGGGACCACTAAGGGCATATCCCTGATTGCTTGGGACAACTAAAAGACAAAACAGGGAGAGGAGTGAGGGTTATAGGTTAAATACAAGTGCACCAAGGTGGGACACTGAGCAGACCATGCCAAGACAGTGCCCGCTGGCCCTCAAATGAGTCCAAGGAGCCAGCAGACACTGCCCAATGAAACTGCCCAGAGACACGAATGGACAAGGGACAGAAAAATAGACTCACAGTCCCTCAGAGGCCTCCTGGTCAGAGCCCCTTTCCTCGTTAGGTATATTGCCAGCTTGGCTAGGGCCAGGAGGTTTATTAGGAGGTTGTAGGACTTAGTGGGGCCACAGATGGAGAGTGCAGAAACAAAAAAAGTGAGAGGAGAAGTGCAGCCAGAAGCTCAGCAGGTTATGGAGGAGGCAGGAAAGGGGCTGCAGCCGGGCACACTCCAGGAAGATGTGTCAGGGTCTCCTTCTGCGTACAGAAGGGTCAGGTGTTGGGGGCCACCATGGGACACATCCTCTGGCCCAGAGACACCAGGCACCATAGTCCTATGCTCTGACCCAGGCAATAGCAGTTCATATGTTCTCAACCTCTCACCAGGCCCCAGCATCATGCCCTGCTTAGCCTGCCTAATGGGTGACAAGTAACAAAGCCCTAAATGTCTTGCTGATGGGAGCCCCAGTGCCATGTGCTAGAGCAGCATTTCTCAACCCATGGGTCTCAACCCAAAAGTGGGTTGCAAAAATACATGAAAGGGCTGTGAACAAACTTTAAAAATAGATTCTCCTTTAAAGGAGAAAAATGTGGAAAACTGCATTTCCCCTTGCAGGCTGCCAGAGTTCCAGCCTGCAAGGGGTTACTTGCTCCCCCGCCCCCCCCAAGTCCCACACACTCACCCCCTGCTCCACACTGCGGGGGGGCAGTGGGTTGGGAGCGAAGGGCATTGGGTCAAGCACATACATGCTTTAATGATAATGACATGAAATCATACACAATATACATACATACACACAGGTTAAACACAGACTCAGGCGACTGTGTGTGTGTGTGTGTGTGTGTGTGTGTGTGTGTGTGTTGGCCATCAATGTTTACAAATGCGTCCTGGTGCAAAAAATGTTGAGACCCACTGTGTTGCAGGAGGGCCTGGAAGGGCTCCCTACACAGGACCCCTCTTGCAGCTCCTGCAATGGACGGGGAGAGGGCAGCTGCGGCCCCCTCTGCATCCCCCCGCACCGACATTACCAGTGAGCTGCGCAGCGTAAGCGGTGCTCCTGCCATCCGGGGCTGCCTCACTCAGCGCGCGCCCTTGACAGCAGCATGTGGGCAAAGGGCCGAGGGAGGAACCCGTTCCATCCACTGCCTGCTCCCATTGGGTGGCCCTTCCCCCCGGCCACCTCTCGTTCCGATTGGAGGAGCCGCGGAACTGGGGGGAGGGGGACGAGGACACGAGCTGAGCGGCAGCGGTTCCGACCTATCGGCGCCCGCGCCGCTCCCAGCCCGGCGTTTGCGAAGCGAATGCGGTGGAGCCAATAGGAGCGCAGAGGGCTCCGGGGCTTGACAAGGGCCAGGTAAATACAGCTCGCGCCGCGCGTGGCGGGGGTAGGGGAGGGGTCGGCCGGCCTGGCCCGGGGGTCGCAGCGCTGCTCGTACCCTGCAAGGGGCCAGGGCCACACGCCCGAGACTCGCTTCGCCCGCCGTCAGTTTCCTACCGCGGTTTCCTGCCGCGGTCTCCAGGCTGCGCCTGCGCTTGGGACGCGGCCAGGGAATGGGATCAGGCTTATGGGATCAGACGGGCTGCAAGCAGTGCTGGGGCGGGGGAAAGGGGGAGTAATTAGCAGGTGCCCAGGCAAGCACAAACAGGGATGATTCTTTTGCCCCGAGGCAGAGGTGTGAGTGGCTGGTGGCCCTTGGGTGAGCACCCTCTTCCTTGCTGCCACCTATGGGAGCTTTCCGGGACAGAAGGAAAGCTGTCCGCTTTGCGGACCTTGGATTATTCTCTTCTGGAGTCCGGCACTGTTCTTCTGAGCCCCTCTGAGCTTTCCCATAGCCAAGTTACTAACTTCCCCTTCCCTGTAAAGTGGGAAAAGGAGAGATGGGTATTGAGTGACTTGGTGATGCAGCTCAAGGCAGAGCCATGACAAGTCCAGATCTCTATTTGGCCATGGTGAGGCCACATCTGGAGTACTGAGTTTAGTTTTGGCCCCCCCACTACAGAAAGGATGTGGACAAGTTGGAGAGAGTCCAGCGGAGGGCAGCAAAAATGGTGAAGGGGCTGGGGGGCATACTTAAGCCCAGTTCCCTCAGCTTTTCCTCATATTAAGTCTGGAGAAGAGAAGATTGAGAAGGAATTTAACAGCAGCCTTTAACTACCCAAAGGTGGTTACAAAGAGGATGGAGCTAGACTGTTCTCATTGGTGACAGATGACAGAACAAGGAGCAATGGTCTCAAGCTGCAGCAAGGGAGGTTAAAGTTGGATATTAGGAAAAACTCTCACTAGGAGGGTGGTGAAACACTGGAACAGGTTACCCAGGGAGGTGGTGGAAGCTCCATCCTTGGAAGTTTTTAGGCCTGGCTTGACAAAGCCTTGGCTGGCATGATCTAGATGACCTCCTGAGATCCCTTCCGGCCCTCATTTTCTATGATTCTGTGATCTCCTGTCCCTTGGTTCTGGGCAATAACCAGTGCTCATTTACTTTGGTTAGTCTGTAGGGTGCAAATTGACCTGGCCTTCTACTTGACTTCGGACTGACATGGGTAACTGCCACACGTCTTGCAGTTTACTTAGTTTCAAAGACAAGTCTGTGATAGAAGCAGGGGTGTTACTGAAGCAGGGGCATCTCAGAATGTCAGGAGCCACCAGCAATGGCTGTGAGGTACAAGCTATCCTGTTGTCATCTCCAGGATATGCTGTCTCAGAAGCCCAGTGATGATCATTTAAATGTAGATATTATTAACTATTTCACTCCCCCATAATTAGGCCTGGCACATTAGTTTTGCTGACCTAACCCTGTCATCTGGGGAGAGGGGTTGGTGATGTCTTCTCACTCCTGATACTTTCTAGTCAAGGAGGGACCTTAATGTAATTTCAGGTGTACCAGAAAAGTAGTCCTTTTACCAGAATAGTTTATTCTGTTTAGGAAACTAGTTTAAATTCTACTAGTCTTGCTGGTCTAGCTGTTTCTACCCACCCTGCTAAGTCTAGACAAGAACTAAGAAAGAAGGAGTCACAGATCTGCAAAGTCAGAGCTGACAATAACATCTCCTTCAGGTGGAGACAACAGGGCTGCAGGCCTATAGCATTCAGAATTTACTGTGAGCAGCTTCTCATCTTGATCACTCATGTGGGTGGTCAGCCGGGAGGCATGACATCACACTGAGATTTGTCCTTGCCTCCTATATTGTCTAAACCAGTGGTTCTCAACCTTCTTTGTACGAGGACCTGTTTGTAAACCTCTATGGCCAGTCCCAGCTCAGTGCCCCTCATTCCCGACCCACTGCCCAAGAGACTTACCCATGCTGCCCATAGCCTCAGAAAAGCAAGAGTTCAAACTGAAGTTGACAGGGAGAGAAAAAGATACGTGCAGCACATTACTTGCTTTCATGTGTGGGTTGCCTGTAGGACAGAAATGGAAATAGCTGATCTGAAGGCAACAAGAAGAAATGGGTCCTCTCACCTATAGACCACCAATGAGAGTGGCACCCAGAAGTAGGTCTTTCTTAAAACTTACAAGTCGAGTAATAAGTTTCCTGCCAAGTGACACCAGCCATTATGTTGCAGTAGCTGTACTGCTATCATGTTTCGTTTTGCAGTGGATAAAATCTGAAGTCCAGTGTTCAGTTTATTTATTTGTCCTGGAAGCAAGAGCTATATCCATCTACAGTCCAGGGTTATGAACCCAAGAGAGAAAAAATGTTTCTAGTAAGATGAAAATGCAGCAAGGAAATACTCAGTGACAATTTCAATAGCCCATGAAAGTCAGTGGAGTTGTGTTACTTGTGGGTTTGTTGTGTTGGTTTCTTTTGGTTTTTTTAACTCACAGCCAATATGGCCTATTGCACAACATATTTCTTTCCCTATTCTCAGATGTATTTGCTTATTTCTCATTGATTCCTGACAGCTAGTATACTGAATCCTGAAAAAACAGGAGAGTTAAAGCCAAAACAGCTGTTTCCTTCCCAGCTCTTGCTTGCTAGTAATAAGTCAGACCCCAGAGCTATCGCCCAATTTTATTTTTGCCATTCAAGACTATAATCAGTGTCTTAATTTATGACAAAAGAAAGTTAAGAACTCTGGAGACTTCTAATGATTTTACATTCAAAAAGGTAGATTTATGTCCTTTTGTGACTTACCATGCATGGTGCCTATGGTCTTTCTTCCTCACTAACTGCATGTAGTCTTGATTTGGAAACGCAGGCAGAGCCTGCATTTTTCACTCTGAAATCTTGTATCAGTGAGACCATAAAGGAAACATGTTTCTCTCAGGCCTTCTCACTTCCTTTACTGTTTTCCTCTCCTGAAAACAGTAAAGTCCTTCCTTCTTCCAAAGCCACCTGAGAAAAATACCTTGTTTACATGCACTGACATTTGATAGATTGGACTGAAATAAATGATTTGGAAGACTCTTTCTTTGGATTCTGTTGCTAGATGCTTGCTGGTTTAGTCCTCTTGGGGTTAATATAAACTCCTTAAACACCACTCTTTTCAAGAGGCCCATTCCCACTAACCCAGCAACTAAAATGGTATAGAAAGAAATAGCTTGCATCACTTTACAGTGCTCTTTTCATGGACACATGATGCCTTGTGATCTGTTGTGTTGGCTTTCCATTTGGAATGCAACAGGGGCCTTGTCTTCTGCTTTGTTCAGCCCCAAGCATTGGCTGTGCTCAGCAGTTAAATGAGAATCATCAGGTTGGCTCCAACAGACTTATGGGGGAGGGGGCCAGACTTACTTAGAAGTGATGTTTTACTGCAGTCGCTGTCAGACTTCTAGACATGAAATTGTAAAAACTTTGCTCCAGGCCATCACAATCAGCTGAAAGAAATAACGGCATAGAGAAGCTAAATGTCGGTGCCTGTGGGAAAGGGGAATGAATATTCTTTTTTGTCTCCATTTTGAGACTACTTACCAACTTGCAGGTCAAAGGTTAACTCTCATAATGACGAGAAGAAAAGGGAAATGGGAACTTCCTGTTGTTGCATCTAGGTGCAGCATTCACTGAAAGGACAACTGCTACTAAGGCTCTTTGCTGTGTCCCTCAATACTGTGGTATATTAAGAATGCTTCATCCCATGTCCTACCAAACCAGTACATCATAAATGAGGGAAGGTGCATTGGTGAAATAATGTTTGAGTGTATTAGCTTGAACAGAATAACTGTTGTATTTCTCCATGGTGTTTCTCTTTGTCTTCTACACAGAGAACTGTGTTGCCTTGTGGGGTCAGGCCAGTGCTCAGGATCTCAATATCACGCTGTTAGACAGGAGGGCATGGTGTACAATTGCACATACACACACACACAAACATCAATTAGGTGCGCACACACACACGCACTCCAGGTTCATACACCCCCACCAGGCACGCACACTACCAACTCAGGCACATACACATCCAAAAATTACCAGCCTAGGCACATGCATACCTATTGCCAATTCAAGAACATACACACTGTACTGATAATGGCATGAAATCATACACAATATACATACGTACCCATATACACACAGGTTAAACACAGACTCAGGTGACAGTGTGTGTTGGTGCCTGTGATACCTGTGCTTGGGGTGCTTGGTAACTGAAGAGCAAGTGGGAGAGATCAGGGGAAAAGGCAGTGGAGATGGGGCAAAAGCAAAGCAACAGCAGTTTGCAGGCAGAGAGGAGCTCAGGACAGCTGGAGCCACAGAAGCATGGGCCAGATGTTGGAGGTGGTGGTGAGCCAGAAGCAGGAGAGGGAGAAATGAGACAGAAGTTAGAGGGGCAAGGAGCAGAGACTGGAGCAGGGCTAGACCCGTAGTAAAGCAAAACCCAACTCAGGGGTCCAAATAACAGTTTTATTAAATGAACACTGTACTGTACAGCTTGGTTCCCACATACACTCACACAAGCACTCCCACACAATGGTAGCAGGAGAAAGAGACTCGGTGAAAGGGTTGGAGTCCAGGTAGGGAAGAGAAACAAGTCCTTGGTTGAAGAGAGGATGGGAGTGATAGCTACTATCCAAGCTGGGAGGGGATCCTTGATGGCCAGTCAGGGTCTTTCTCCAGCAGGTGTTGTACAGCACTG